CCAATTTAAGCTAATTCCTTAATTAGTGACTTCTTGGGCACAATTCAAGCTCTCAATGTGAATTAAATCTGTGTGTTTCAAAATAAATAAATGTGTGCAAGAGTTCCTTGATTCATTACGCGTTTCATGAAGCTAAAAATGATAGCAATAATGAATTAAATTTTGCATGGGTATGTTAAATTACAAGCATGGATTAATCTAGAGCACTTCTCTAATAGAATATTTAAATTCTTGACATATCTCAAACATGCATGAATTAATGAATTTAAATACAACAATGAACTTCGTTTAGATATATGGCATTAAACATAAGAAAAAGAATGTACCGTCACAGAAGATAGATAGTAAAAAACTTATAAAATCAATGCAAAACAGATGAATATATATATAGTTGGTTTATATAGATGGCTCGAAATGATATCAAAAATTAGAGTAAAGTCATTCATAATACAATGGCTTTTACAAATATAATTGCTTATATTAATAAGCATTAGAGAGCGAGTAATGCTAAACAATGCTTCTTTTCGAGCATCACTTCTTTTCAATCTTTGGGGTCCACGACTATGGTTGGGGGGAGGGTACCGCAACTCCCGGTTTTGGTGAGATGGCGGCCACCTCTCACGGGTTGGGTAAAGTTTAACACTGATGGGAGCTGGAAATCTTGCAGTGCAATTCTTTTCTTTTCATCTCCCCGTTTCTCTGATACACCTCTTGAGGCGGTGGCTCGGGTCATCTTGACGACTGTCATGATAGCTCATTCACTTAGTTGACATTTTATTATCTTTGAAAGCGACTCTCGAATTTTGGTTGATATTCTTGCTAATGGAGCTGATGCCTCCTGGGATATTCTTTATCACATTTAGAGGATTAAACTATTAACCTTTCATATGTCTATTATTTGAAGGTTCATACATCGTGAGGGGAATAAACAACAAATTGGCTCTCCTCATTTTCCTATTCTTTTTGTGAAATTTCTTTCTTGTTGTGTTCCTCTGTTTGATCTATTGCAGGAGCTCTCGCATGCTTTCCTCTAGACTACAAAGATTATAGTGTGGTCTTGGCCTCCTCGGTTTACTGCCTTCTATGATGGAAAGGGTTTCTCTCTTTTGTTTCTGTGTTTTGATCTCTGCAGGATTCTCATGTGGCTTGCTCTACACATGATTTATTTGGGTCTCAACTGGATGTTGATGTCGTCTCTTCAAACTCATTGAATCACTCGAACTCTTACTTCGGTTTTTTTGTTGTTTTTGGTGTAGGTATACTGGATTTCATTTATTTTGGGTACACAATACCTTTTATCACTTCTCTTTCATTTTTGGCATGGAGTTGTAATGTGAATAGAGGAACCCATAGGACCCTCCTTTTATTTTTAGATGGGGATCCTCCTTCCCTCCCTCACTTTTGTACTTTCTTTTTATATTAACACGTGAGCCACGTGCTGCTCTTTCCTTAATATATATATATATATATATATATATATATATATATATATGTATATATGTGTGTTTGTGTGTGTATGCATGTTTGTGTGTGTTTTGAATATTTTATGAAAAGAGGGCTGCACTTCATCTAAATATAAAAAATTAACTTAATATCATATTCAAAACACGCACGCGTGCATACACACCAACATACTCATATATATGTATATACACATATAATCAAGCATCTCGAACCAAGCATATTAGGCTAGACAATGTTTATTTTATTGAGTGGCAAGGCCCATGAGCAAAAAGATTTTAAATTTATATCCTATTGCTAGTACATTTTACATAATTTTAGGACTAAATATATATAGAGCCCACCTATTTTTTTAGATTTTTTTTCTATTTTATTAGAGTGTTTAGAAGGCCCAATTACAACGACCTATATTATTCTTATATAGCCATACAACATAATAATTCATTTATCCCTTGTGTTTACTTACAACTTGCTTGATTTAATTTCTGCTTTAATTTATCAGCCATACAAAATAATAATTTATTTATCCTTGTGTTTACTAACAACTTGCTTGATTTAATTTCTGCTTTAATTTATCGTTATACATGTATTATTTGAGATTCATAGAACTTGTGATAGTCTCAGTAGGATTCAAAACTTGTATAATATTCAACAAATTGATCAATCAATTAAAATTAATTTAAAAATATTAAATTGATTCTCTCTCAAGCTATCTTTTAATTGAAATTATTCTCTCTAAATCTCTTAGAAAAATTATAAAATAGAACTAGCAAGCAATCAGAACCCTCTAATGCTACTAGACATTTATGATAATGTCAAGAATACATGCATATAGAAATATTTGTCACTTAAAGATAAATAACTTGTATTACAAATCATATGCCTCAAGGTAGAACTTTTATTATAACTATAATTGAAATTGATAAATATGTGTCCTAATATGCTAATTAATAGTCCTAACCCCAATAAATTATAAATTTAATTGAAAAACTCTGGTTGATGGGTTATCACAATTTTCTCTTCCCTTAGCAATCCTTATACAATTAAGAATTATAAGTCCTACATATTTCCAATCTATCACCTAGGAATTAGCTATCTAAGAATCTTAATTTTTCTTTCATTTGATTTGAGAACATAAGACTAACTTTGAAAGGCACAAGTCAACATTAGTGACAGAATGTCTTATAGTTTGGTTGGATCACTGCCATCATGACTAAACATTTTAAGCCAGAAAACCTATGATATTAACTCATAAAATTCTGACTAAGTTTTCTAATAAAGAGCACTACAATTCTGACTAAGTTATTTTCGCCTTTGTTTAAATTTATTACTCCAACTAATCAGCTCTTTAAACTCGTTATACACCCTTTTGAGTCCTTTGTGATTTAATGATTGTTATCATATAGGTTATCTCTATGGAGAGAGAATTATCTCACCCGATTACCATGGCTCACCTCTGCCTTGTGGATTACCTAGTTTTAAGCTTATATTCTCTTATTGAGATAAAAGCCTTTGAATCATAGGCTCTCTAAATTTAACCTAGGAAAATTAAAATAAGTATGTTGTTAGTAAATGAGAAAATCTATTGGAATAATTAACTTTAAAGAGTTAGTAAGATTAATTATACCAAATTTTTAGTTGACTTTGCTTGAATTCAATGATATTACTTCTTGTAATTATTTTATACAAATTAGATAATTTATTGATCCTATCTCACTAGACCTATTGACGTATCTTATTAAATGAAATTTCTTATATGAGAATAACACACTTATATCATCACCATTTTTCTCTTCAAATAAACTCTTCATGGTACTCTACTTAAGGAGGAATAACTTATCATCAAAAGAAGTCAATATAGTATATCTAAGGCAATGATTGCAATGGTGAAAAGAAGATCCTAGTAACCATGCTCTTAAGGAGATCATTTAAGGGGAAAAGCTTAAGAGAAACATTCGACATTTTATCCTTATTAGAAGATCATTCTTGTTATTAAGTTGATCAGAGATGACGTAGTTCTTGCTTTTTAAGATCCTTCCCTTATCTTCGAGACACCCCATAACCTTATTCTTAATCTTTGACAGTTTTATACTTTCGCCGCACTTTCAAGGATATTTGATATTTATTGTTTATGAAAAATACCAAAATTCTACTTTAAATATGGATCAAGTAAAAAAAAATCAGAAAGGGAGAATTAGAGAATTTGAGGATTTTCTGAATAAAACTAATAGAGAATCTTAAAGATATTTTGCTTAGACATATTTTTAGCCAAAAGCTCAATATTTTGTTAAGACCACACTCAACCAATAGCCTCCTGATGGGCGAGGATCAACATTAGCAATATATGAAAGGCTATCTAGTTTGATGGCACAAAAAATGTATAATTTGACATAGTATAACTAATCATTTAGACTTAACTAATAGTTGCCTATTATATAGGAGCTTCTGCAGAGTTTTGATTTGACAAAAAATACCCCTAACAAGCTCTTCTAGAGATAACTATATGTTGACTAACAAATACTTGGAGACAAATTACCAAGTTCCTCGATTGAGTAGACTAGATGAGTAGGTAACTTCATGAATTCCAAGATTGGATTGGAAGGTCAATTCAGAGGGGTAAGCAATGCCTCCTCATCAACCCTAAACTATAAATTTAAAAAAAAAATGAATAATTAGTCCTCTGCATGATGAACATAAAATAAAAAGTGCCCAAAAATTTTTAAAATATAAATCATAACTACAACAAAAAAGTCTGACCAAGCCTTGCTCTGGATTTGTAAATGTGCCAAAAAAAAAAAAATCCTGTTGGCGATATCTCAATTTAATATAGAAGAAAATGTAGCCATTAAAACAAAAAAGCACGAAGCTCTGAAATACATGTAATATTTCGAACTATAGCTCCAAAGACAAGAATTTTGAGTAAATAAGCACAAAAGACCTATAAGTATAGCAAAAGACCATGTGATGCATCAAGAGAGGAAGCAGGGAATTACTACCCTGAGCCCTGCCTTCAACCAACATAGACTAGCAATAGAGGAACCGAAAACAGCTAAGTTGAGACATTGTATCATATTCCCAAAGAAGAAAGGAGAGGCACAATACCATAAATGAACATGTGAGAGGAAAATAGATAAGGAAACAAATCACTAGAGTGAAAAGAAAAAAACAATCGCTATACTAGTTCAAGGAGTTATCTTCTTACAAAGTTGAAAGTATAAAGCAGAAATTTTGATGACCTCCTACATACTTATGTGTTGGTATCCATAAACATCTAGTTTCCTTTTGATTAAAATTTCATGGTCTGGTTATTTCCACAATATCAACAATAGAAACCATTGGGAAAAAAAGCATAGATTATGCCGTAAATATATATCAAAACAGTAAACAAACCTCGCTACGAAATATCTAAGTTTGTCAGCCTATTTTTGTTTGAAAGGAAAATATTCTAGACAAGTTTTAAAATGTTATTAAACGCAAATTTCTGCAGTTGCATGTTTTAAATCATCATTATTTTGGAAGGTATTTATCTTAATCTCCACACTCAACTAAAGTATATTTAGATTTTCCGCATAAAATCCCATTTGCGTACAGTGCTTTGCAATAAAATTCAATTAAAAACATATGAACTTACAAAGCCTGATTAAGAAAAAAGATCAAGAACTGTATGAGCAATAAAGTAGTACCTTTGAAGCTTTACAAATCTGAATCAAATCCAATGTTCCAGAAACCTTCTGGTGTCAATGGTGGCGCATACCTGTAGCGATGCCGAGAAACGCCGTCATGATGCTCACAACGCATAGTATTAGCTGCTTTGCCTCCATCGGGAAGAACTGCATCATAGAACTTCTTGCATTGCTGGCACTCAATTCCTTTGAGGTTCTCCCTTTCAGATTTCCTCCTAACAGGCTCCACATATTTAAAACCCTTGTTTGATGGCCCAACCATTGATATTGGGCACCTCTCGGGCATAGTTTCGGAGTTTAAGTCAAGAACATCCTCATCTGAACAATCACCATCCACATCTTTATCAGAAACAATGGGATTGACATTTACTTCTAGGAGATTCATATTCAAATTTCGCACATTTTCTAAGGGAGTATTGAAAAAATCATCATGTGGATCTCCATCTTTGAGTTCTTGACGTGACCTGGTATCTCTCCAAAGTGAAGCAGCTGGCTTCGGGCTGCTCGGTGCCTCTTTTTTAACATTCAAAGGAAGTTTTGATGAGATAAGACCTTGTTTGATTGATATATTGGAGCAGGAACCAGCATCTGAATCCTTTTTTGATTCAGTAATGTGACCAAACGCAATTTCTTTTCGATGGGCTACATCAATCTTTGATTTAGTTAGCTTGGACGCATGCAGGGGTACCTCTTGAACATCGTTTTTCATATCTGCAGCCAGCAAAGCATAAAATGTAACGGTTCCCTGTTCTTATAATCCATTTTGCAATAGCAATAAATTTATAAGGCATTTTCTACAAGGTATTAAAAAAATAAAATTGTATAATGATTATGTATGATATCAGCTTCAAATTGAAGAAAGGATTTTGTAGATGTTCCGTTTTCATGGAGTAAAAATATTATTTCATGAGAACTCAACAAAAACAAGGGGATAAGAAATATTGCCTTCATTGCATCTCTTTTTCAGGCAACTACTTGCTGTTCCATTTTCATCTTCCGACATCATGTCTGAATGACGACTGTCTGATTTAGCATTGCCAAGCCTGCTTATAAGAAAATTATATTGAGATTTCAAATGTTTGTAATTTGTTTTCAGTTTATTGCACTCCTCAAACAAACTTTTCTTTTTGCTCAGCTCCTCTTCAATTTTTTGATCTTTCAATTTTATCTGTTGCAGTAGGTCTTTTTCAAGCTCCTTCACTTTAACATTTTCATTGACTTTCTGCATAAGCTGTTCCAAGAGTTCTTTCTTCTCGAGTTGACATCGGTTCAGTGATTGCTCTTTGTTCGCAATTTTTTTCCAACTTTCTTGTAAAGATGCATTTAATTGTGTGATTTGCTCTTGAGCATGCGTCCTTTCAGATTGGAGTTCCTCTATCTGTTTTAAGAGATGATCCTCTCTCTTCCCCCACTCCAGATCTTCAGTTTTCTTGAAACCTAAAATCTTTTTCTGTATAGTTTGTGATAATGTTTGAAGATCTGGAAAGTGCTGACGGCAAACAAACTCAATCTGTGAAACTTTCACTGTTAATTCCTCAACTGTGTCCATAAGAAGCATCGTGAACTGACATAAGTATTGAGAATCAACCTCGGTCTCAACTGAGCTTCTAAACAACCTTGGACTCTGCAGCTTCTTTTCCAGATCCATCATTTCGTTAGGGTCAACAAGTAGCAATTCTTGTTGAGATGACAACTAACAATTTGGTGGCACTGATTAACGAAGAGTACAAACGTAAGTTTATCAATATCTTTAAGGTTTTGCTGCATTAAGTTCAAGATAAGTGCAACAAAAGAACAGAATTAAGGTGAAATAGTAAATAAAGTGATGTTAACAATGCTAGTTGGATTCAAATGAAACTGTTTTAAGTATCCTTCTTTCTCAGGAACGCCAACGTTCTCAGACATTATTAAATTGAATAGAATTAATTCTAATTCTGAGGACTTGCGTCATCGCAATCTTCATAAAATTGTAGCAGTTCGAAAAGGCAGAAAGTAGAGAATGTAAATCCGTAAACTTCTCTAGTTTTCAATCAAATCAAAATGTTAGATGAAAATTGTTAGAAGTTATTAGTGTTTACTTCTTTCCTTTCCGGATATTTTCTAATTTATGTATTCCTTGTTTATGTGTTTTCTAGTTTGTGTATTTCTTTATGTATAAATTTATTAGTTTAGACTTTTCCTTTATCTCTAAGTAGTATTAGGAATTAATTTAATCATAGAGATTTGGATGTTATATCTTTCCTATTTTATAACTCTTGAATCATATATTTATTCCCCTTATGATATCGATAAAATTATCCTGTTGAATACCAACATAGTCTTAGAGCTTGTTGATCTCATTGCAGTCCTAATTTGTTGATATCTTTCCAAGGATTCCTCTCCTTCCATGTCTCGGCATCCCAACCTCTCAGGAGCCATGGCTGATTCCTCCTTCCTCCATCACCGAGCTTCCGCTTGATAAGGTTCTTGAATCCACCGGTCGTGGTAAATTCCATCCAAACTGTGTCGTTATTCGTCAACGGTCGTGGTAAATTTGGTTATCTCACAGTTATGATTCATCAACCTCCAAAGACAGATCCAACATATGTGGCATGGAAAGTAGAGAACTTCACGGTCATGTCATAGCTGATTAATTTCATAGAAAACTCGATTAGTCTTTTGTACCAGTTTCATTGGTCTGCAAGTGCACTCTGGACTGTCGTTCGCGACACCTACTTGTACGATAATTATAGACAACTCTATGAGATTTCTAAGAAAATCTGTGAGGTGAAACAGGGATCGAAGACGATGACCAAGAACTACAACGACTTGGTTGCATTATGGATGGAATGTGATCTCTACTATGACTACACTTGGGACACTCCTATAGATCTTTCTCTCTTCAAAAAAAATTTGAAAAAGGATCGTGTGTTCCAATTCTTAGCAGTCCTAAACAAGGATTTTGATGAAGTCCTTGGTCATATATTTGGATGTGATCCCCTTCCTTCAACCCAGGGAAACATTCACCGAGATTCACAGCGAAAAAAGCCAGAGACTTGTCATGCTCGACAACTTCACTCCTTCAACCGAGTCTTCAACCTTGATCCCTAAGGGTACTCCACACTCTGCCATGCCGTCGCGAGCCACTCATGCCACGTGATTTTTGTCACAAACTCTACCATATAGGGTAGAATGGTTGGAAGTTCCACAGGAAACTGACAAATAAGTTTTCGACCAAATCTTCCACCACTAAAGGTCTTGCTACGACCTTAGAATCAACAACAGTTCAGCCGCCCCCTACTCGAGCCATCCCCAAGTCAATAGACCCCATCAAGAGTCAAATGGAATACTCAATTAAATTGCTAGGGTCAAGTCAACACTCCTCCGACCATCAACCTTTGTCTGTCAAGGTAACATCTCTATGACACTCGCTGGCTTTGCTTCTTCTAGCCAATAGATTATTGATTCATGTGTCACGGACCACATGACCAGGGGTTCTCATTTCTATTGAACATATTTATCTTACCCAGGCGAGTTACGAATAAAATTGTTGACGGCTCCTGTAATTCCATTGTGGATAAAAAGTCAGTTGTACTTACAGTTGGGTTGACTTTGGAATTCGCGTTACAAGTTCCTTTATTTAAGTGCAATCTCTTATCGGTCAGTAAGCTAACATGTGATCTTGATTGCATTGCTCATTTTATCTTTGATGTTTGTCTTTTAGGATTGCTGCCCGGAGAGGATGATTGAAACTGCTAAGCGGGTAATTTGACTATTTTTTTTAATAAAATGACATAAATAACACAAACACTTAGTCTCATAATTGTAGTTTTTCTCTTTCAACTACATATCTTATTATGTTTTTACATTATCGTTCAGGTTATCCCAGTTTTCATTATTTAAAATATTTGTACCCCTCGAAGTTAACTAATAAAAATTCATCTTCTTTTGAATGTGAAATTTGTCAATTAGCTAAATATCGACGTATGTCGTATCCACCTCATCCTTGCACTCTTTCACTCTTTCCTCTTCTTTTTCACTTATTTATAGTGATTTATGGAGACCCTCTAGAATTGCGAGCTACACCAATAAAAAAAGATGGTTTTTTACTCTAATTGATGACCACACTCGAATGTCTTGGGTCTATATCTTAAAAGATAAATTTGAAGACGCGGCCATTTTTAAAAATTTATGCTACTTTATTTTAGTCCAATTTGAAACAAATATTCAAGTCCTTCAGACAAACATGGATGTGAATATTTTAACTCTATCCTTCATCATAGTTCTTGTACGAGTACCCCTCAACAAAACAATGTAGTCGAGCGAAAAAACAGAAATCTTCTTGAAATTGGTCATCAACTATGTTTCAAACCAATATCTCTAGAAGGTTTTGGAATAATATATCATCTTCACCATCAACTACCTCATCAACCCATTATTTGCTTTGATGTCATGTCTTCCTACCAACCGGTCTTTCTCCACATTATACATCAAAATATTTAGGTGCACGGCCTTTGTCCGGAACACAGACCTAACTCGTACTAAACTTGATCCCCGCTAAATCACGTGTCTTTCTTGGTTATTCCGCCACTCAAAAAGGCTATTGGTATATGGATCCTACCACTAATAAAATCTATGTTATGGTCGATGTCTCCTTTTTTTAAAAATGTCTCGTTCTTTCCTAACACTACCTCAAGTGAGAGTGAGCTTGATTTTTTGAAAATGGTTCCTCTTCACCTACGTTAAAATTCCTCCTACAGACACGGTGTCCGGTGCACCTTCAGCACCAATGGATTCACCTCCATCCAGTCCAACATCAAAACCGCCCTTTATCCGGGTTTATACCCGTTATCCAAAACCCTCTATTGAAACTCGTCCCAAAACCCCTATCATCGAGCCCAATGCTATGTTGCGGATCTTGGAATCCGCTCCGACCGACATCCTTAGAAAGATGCCTTCACGGCCTACAGGAGTCACTCCTTATCTGAGTGAAGATGTGAATCTCATTATTGAGGTATGCAAACATATATCGTCAAAAACTTTGTATCTTATGGCGAAATACGTCTCGTTTCATAGCATCTCTAACCTACAAAGCATTAGCTATTTCTGAGACGGATTGTTGTTTCTCACTCACTATATAAGCGGCTTTGATTGACAAGTTATGGAAAGCTGTTGTCATGAATGAGATGAAGGCTCTTCGGCCCAACCATACTTGGGATGTGGTTAATCTTCCCTGAGGAGAGAAAGTAGTGGGGTGTCGATGGATCTTCAACACCAAGTTCTCCAATGGTTCCTTTGAAAGCAACAAGGCACGACTGGTCACCAAAAGATAATCTCAAACATATGGAGTTGACTATGAAGAGACATTTCCTCTAATTGTCAAACTCAATAACATTTGAGTCCTATTAAGGCCAGTCGTGAATCAAGATTGGCCCTTAATTCATTTTGATATCAAGAATGTTTCTCTTAATGGTGATCTTACTGAGGAATTGTATATGTCTCTCCCCCAGGGATTTGACTCGACTTCTTCCTGTTGACAGATGTGCTGGTTGTGAAAATCCCTCTATAAATTGAAGCAATCCCCAAAAGCCTGGGTTGGCAAGTTCACGCAGATGGTAGTGGGTCGTGGATTCTCTCGAGTCCAATATGATCATACACTATTTTTTCGGCATTCATCCGATTGTCATCCTCATCATCCATGTCGACGACATTGTGCTCACAAGTAATGATATGTCGGCCTTTGAGTCATTCAAAGGCATCCTCGCCGCATCTTTTCATATGAAAGAAAGTAGCTCGGCCTTCTTAGAGCATTTACCTTTCCCAGCGCAAATATGTGATGGACCTATTGATCGATATCAGCCTTCTCCTTTGCAAACCGGTTGATGTCCCAATAGATACAAATGAGAAATTATTGGAAATTCTCAAGGTTGTTCCAGTGAACAACACTACCTCCTGGGTAAGCTCATCTACCTTGTTCATACTCGCCCGAATATTTGTCACCTCGTGGATATCGTCAGTCAGTTTATGCATGACCTCTACGAGCATCATCTCATCGCAGTTTATTGGATCCTCCACTACTTAAAAGGAGCATCGACCTCGGGTTTGTTATTCACTTGTCACAACTCCCGCTCTGTTGTCGTTTATACGAATACTGATTGGGTCGGGCTCATCCATGATAGAAGATCTACCTCAGGTTATTGCTCGTTTGTATAAGAGAACATTGTCATTTGAAAAGTAAAAAGCAGCCAGTGGATGCTTGTACTAGTGTTGAAGACAAGTTTTTCTCTATGATTTTGGAGGTTTGTCAAGTCATCTAGTTGTGTATCATGCTCATTGAGTTGTGTATGTCGGTTACTGCCCCTTTACAGCTGTTTTGTGACAAAAAAATAGACATTAGCATTGCTGATAATCTGATCCAACATGAACATATCAAGCATGTGGAGATTTACTGTCACTTTATCAAGAAGAAACTTGATTCCAGAGAGATTTGTGTTCCGTTTGTTCCATCTAGTAGACAACTGGTCGATATTCTTACAAAGAATCTTCCTCACTTATTGTTCGGCGACTTCAAATACAAGTTGAACATGTTTGATATATATGCTTCAACTTGAGGGGGAGTGTTAGAATTGATTAGCGTTTATTTCTTTCTTTTCCAGATATTTCCTTGTTTATGTATTTCCTAGTTCATGTATTTCTTTATTTATGTATTTCCTAGTTTATGACTTTCCTTTTATCTCTAGGTAGTTACTAGGGATTAATTTAATCTTAGAGATTTGGATGTTATGTATTTCCTACTTTATAACTCTTGTATCATGTATTTATAGCCATTTTGATATCAAAAAAATCATCCTCCTAAATTCCAACAAAAATTTTTGTGAAATGAACATTAATATGTTGAATAAAGCAATGATTTCCTCGCATTAACTGAACCCAAAGCATGCAATGTGCCAGAGTACCATAGTGCACAAAATCAACTAAGGACATTTTTTCCTAAGAACTGAACTACGAACTGAAAGAGAGGTTACATTGTTGTCTGTTTCCAAAGTACACATGAACTCAAAATTGATAGCAATAGATGGTTGCAGATCAATTTAGAATAGAAACCAAAAAAATTTTTCAAGATACAATACAAGAAATTAAATCTATAAAAAACTTATGTCACCCAAGGAAGTTGCCTTACTCCTAGGTAGTGTATCAGAGTAATTAAGTTGTGTGCCAAAATTTCTATTTTATTTTTGTTGTTTACCATATCTTTACTTTCTTCAGTCGACATCAATAAGGTATAAGAGCCTTGTTCCTCTCAATTGTTTTGTGGAATCTATTTCCTGTGTGTTACATTCAGCATTGATTTAGAAGTTCACCACTATTAACAACCACATCTCCTTAGTTCAATTTCTTCCATCCAAGTGATCTAAAAATAGCAATCTAAATGATATGTAATGGATGGCCCATCAATCTTCTTAAGCTAAGTAACAAGAATTTCCTTGTCATTCTATTTCTAGTTGAGAATCTAAATGAAGGTGAAAGATTATGGAAAGGAAGGCATGGAAGTCCGACGTCTGAATATTATCTCTTCAGATGGGATATGGTTCTTTCCCAATGTATCAGGAGAAGTTTTTTTCAGGAGTCCTAGCCCTCTGAGAAGCAATGGCTGGAAATAGCTCAAGAGATGGAAAGGAAAAAGAAATGATTTAAGGAACCTCAAAGCAGTTTTAACAAAATTGTAGGCATTATTGTTGTAGGCAACAAAATTAAATGAAAGATCATGTGAAAAAAATTCCTCGTAGTCATACTCTCTGTGAATGCGGTTTTGTCAAGTAACCACATCATCATTGACTTATCTTCCTTTATCAAACTCTATTAAGGTAACTTCATCACAATGGAGAGAAACATAAGCATAAATTCTTCATCACATTGATGTAAGAAGCTTTCCACAATATTCAATACTTCCTAATTCATCAAAATTAAAGGGGTTAAATCTCCACCGAAGTTCAAAATGCATATTCTGTAATCATGCAAAAGGAAGACAAGTCCCAATTGATAACAATGTTTGGTTTAAGTCAACAATTTGTTAGGTACTATAAGTGATGTTCTTGAGTGTTAGCTACTCCTCAAAAAATTCAAGAAAGCACCATTAGCATGATTCTCATGAATTTCTCTAGAAGAATCACCAAATATTTATAGTTTAAGCAACTTCTTATCCCATAATTTAGGTATCACATGCTTCATCAATACATAAAGGCCTTTAAAAAACTCTTAGGACCATTTTTAATATGAAACAATAACCCAATAAATCTTTATGATATCTTATTATTCAATTTCAGCTAAATATATTGAATGTCAGAGAATTGGAACCTACTGTAACCCAATAGACCCTTCCAAATACGAATAAATTTCAGTGAGATGGTGATAAATAATCAAGTGTTTGATAGGTAACCCGATCGGGAAATCAACCCCAGTTAACAACTGAAAAATTCTAGATCCCTTCGGTTACAAACAAATCCATCGTAATGAATTATTTCAATGGGGATCTCAATAATTCGTGTGAGCGGTGTTTATCAGCTAGATTTAATCTGGGAAAAAATACCTCCACGTGAAGATGGTCGAGAGAGGTGGTCTGTTTGACGGCGCAGACGGCGGTGGCCACCAGACTTGGCTGCGAGGGCGGAAGGTGTGGCTGGATCGGCCTGGGGTTTCGCCGGTATTGGGTGTTCGAGTGTGAGAGGGTGGGGCTCGGTTGGAGACGTGGAAGACGGGGATGGCTCGCCGGCGGCCGATTCTGGTGTAGAACAGGTAAATGTGGAGGCGATTTCAGCAGGGTGGTGGGCTTGTCGGTGCGGGTCCGCTTAGGATGGCATGAGGTCTGGTGAACGGCAGAGGAGGAAAAAGAGGCTGCGGGGTGGCGGGAAAAATTTTACATCAGTCCTAGCGTAGCCAATGAAATCACCACGACATCACCGTCACCATGACACCCACGCGACATATTCCCGTGAATCACACACAATAACACATCACGAATAACACTGTGGAATATTTCTCGGTGGTATTTTTTTTCTGTAGTGTGGGGTATCGTAGCGTGATTTCATTGGCTACACACATTACTTTATGTGCGTAGTACTTATCTAATATTTTTCGTGGAATATTTCTCGGTGCCATTTTTTTTGTAGTGTTGTAGTGTGGAGTATCGTAGCGTGATTTCATTGGCTATGCACGTTACTTTATGTGCGTAGTACTTATCTAATATTTTTCCGAAGCGGCGACAACCTGTGGCTACTAGGGCTGGAGACGAGAGAGAGTTCTGGTTTTCTGCCCGCCAAGAGCAAAAAAATGGCAAACGGTGCCCATTAAAACTTATTTATATTTAACGCTCTTAGAAAAAAAAATTAAACGAGTTATAGTCATCAAGCACATTCAATCAATATTAAGGGTCTGTTAGGGGTTATATTTTTGTAGTTTTTCATTTTCAATTTACGTTTTGATTTAGGGTTGACATTTGGTTTTTGCCTTCTTTTTTAGTGTTAGTGGTCCACATAACAGAGAAAGAGGGAATGCACGGGAGCCGATCTGTTTCATGTTGGATTCTCTATTTTGGTTACAAAATACTTTCGCTGCCCCAATGAAAATGTCGTTATACCCCGATATTCCCTTCGCTTCACCTTATATTCCCCCTCTCATCTCTTTCTCTGTCGGTATGGTTTTAGAGCAAATCTCAATCATCTTGTTCAACTGTCGTCGCCTCTCTTCTCTGTATGTATAATGACTCCCCATCTCACACTTTTGTTATGGTTTTTTTTTATGGTATTTTGTTACTTTGTTATATTTTTTGTCATGCGTTTCTTGTTTTACTATTTGGTTGTTTGAGATATTTCAGTGTATTGGTGTATTTGTTGATTTGGTGGTTTCTGATATTTACGAGCGGTGTTGCTTATTTTGAGAAAGCATTCACGAGAATTTAGTTTTCTGATATTGTAAATATCTCAGTTTTCATATTAGATTTGTAGTTGTATTTCTTTTCGGTCTTCCTTAAACTTAGAAAAGAATGTATAAATGGAATTTTGGAGCAATTATTGTTCTTTACAAAATATATCAATGATAATTTCTTTTCCGGTATTGTGAATATCTTACTTTTCATGTTAAACCAGTGATTGCATTTATTTTTCCTCTTTTTCAATATTTGAAATGATTGTTTAGAGGGAATTTAGGAGCATTACTTGTTATTTTGAGAATATATTCATGAGAATTTGATTTTTTCTATTTCAAATGTCTCAGTTTTTATGTTAGATTACTCGTTGCATTTCTCTTTCATTCTCTTTAGGCTTGTACAAGATTTTGCTGGGAGAATTTAAGAGCAATGCTAGTTATTTTAGAAACACATCAATAATAATTTAATTTTTTAATATTGCAAATATCTCAGTTTTTAGATCAATGATTGCATTTATCTTTCATCTTCTTTAAACTTAGAAAAAGATTGTATTGAGAGAATTTATGAGTATTACTTGTTCTTTTTGAAAATATATTCATGAGAATTTGGTTTTCTACTATTGCAAATGTCCAACTTTTCATGTTATGATAGTGATTGCATTTCCCTTTCATCTTCTTTAAATTTTGAAATGATTAGTTAGAGAAAATTTAGCAGTGCTAGTTATTTTGAAAATATATACATTAAAATTTGGTTTTCTACTATTATAAATGTCTCAATTCTTATCTTATATCATTGATGATATTTCACTTTCATCTTCTTCAAACTTCGAAAAAATTGTAAGGAGAGGTTAGGGGAATGCTTGTTTTTTTGAAAATAAATCAATGAGAATTTGATTTTTTATAGCACAATTGTCTATGTTTTCATGTTAGAACAATGATTACATTTCTCATTCATCTTCTTAAAACTTTGAAAGAATTGTCTAAATAGAATTCAAGAGAAATTATGGCAGAGTTGTAAATGAACCAATGCACTTGATGAACAACTCGAACTCGACTCAATCATATTCATTCAAATAGTAAATAAATAAGCGAGAATAATTTCTTATAACTAGAATCTTGAATGAATTAAACATGAACATGATTGAGCACGTTCATTTATGTTCACGAACAAACTCATTTGTTTTTCAACAAATAACTTGTTATATTATTTAAATTAAAATTGATTTATTATAATATATTTAGTCATATATTTAATTGTAATATATTATTATATCAATAACATTTTTAGATTAATTCTTAATTATATATTTATTTAATTATTAATTATTAATTATTAATTGTTTGAAAATTAACTTATTGAATTCTAAAAGTAAATATCGCTTTTGTTCATCCCTCAATTATTTCAACAATTGATGAATAATTTCACATTATGAGTAACTTCGTAATATTAGTTATTTTTTCTATTGTTTCAATATGTTTTTTCTATATTATAAAAACTAAATGACGTGAGAGTTAGTTTGTTTGCTTATATCATATACAATTTATATAATTTATTAAATTATTGATTTGTTTAGATTTTAAAATTTATATTTTTTCTATGAAAATCTAGATCCTCATTTGAATTTTTAACTTGTTTATTAACCCTTTTAAATAATCGTTCGCTTTCCATAAACTAATCAAATACAAATCAAGTTCAAATATTGAAAAATTTAAGCAAGCCAAGCTTGAACAACATGTGAAAACTCGACACAAGCTCAAGCCAAACATGAAAAACTTATAATTATATCAAGCTAGGTTCAAACTATGATATACTCGGCTTGGCTTGACTCGATTACAACCCTAAGTACTAGTTATTTTGAAAATATATACATGAGAAATTGGTTTTTCTCTAATGCAAATATCTCGATTTTATGTTAAATCAACAATGGTACTTCTCTTTCATCTTCTTTAATTTTTTAAAGGATTGTTTAGAGGGTTTAGAGGCAATGCTTGTTCATTTAAAAATATAACAATGAGAAATTTGTTTTTTTCTATTGGAAATGTCTCAATTATCATGTTAAAACTGTGACTGCATTTCCCTTTCATCTTATTCAAACTTTGAAATAATTGTTTGGACAAAATTTAGGAGCAGTGACAAATATATTGAAGATAAAAACATGAAAAGTTAGTTTTCTGCTACTGCTAATGTCTCAATTATTATGTTATATCAATGATAGTATTTTCATTGACTTTCTTAAAACTTTGGAAGGGTTAAATAGAGGGAATTTAGGAGCAATGCTTCATTTTTTTTAAATATATTGATGAGAATTTGATTTTTTTCAATATCAAATGTTTTTGTTTTTATGTTAGAACATTGTTTGCAGTTCAGTTTTCTCTCCTTCGAACTTTGAAAATATTGTTTGGAGAGAATTTAGGAGCAGTGGTAGTTATTTTAAAAATAAATGCATGAACATTTGGTTTTCTGCTATTGCAAAAAATTCAGTTTTTATGTTAAATCAACAATGATATTTGACTCTTGTTTAAGTTTTAAAAGGTTTGTATGGAGAAAATTTATGACCAGTGTCGGCTCATTTAAAAATATATCTATGAGGAATTGATTTTATGCTAATGTGAATATCTCATAGTTTAGGAACAATACAAATATCTTTGTTTGATTGTTAAATCAAGGAGAAAGTGTGTTTAGCATATGCAAATATCAAATTGTTTGGATGTTAGATCACTAAAAATGCATGTTAGGATGTCACTTTCTAATTTTTTGGCTTGTGATATGTTTCCTATTTGTAATGTATAGTATAATAATGATAGAAAACAAAATCAAAGTGTTCAACTTATCACCACTTGAAATAAATAGTGCCCTATTTTGTAACATATATAATAAACTTAGTAATAAACGATGAAGTCTTCTTTGATTTATGGATCTCATTGAGTTTTGAGGATATGTTTGGGCCATCGTCATTGATCTAACATCTCAATTGAGATATTTGCATCAATCCAAAATATTTTTTTCTAGAAAAATATTCAAAAGAGCCACGCTACTAAATCCTATAAATGAAATAGTTTTCAATTTGAAAAAAAAGAGGAAAGAGAAATGCAATTAATGTTTTTAACATGAAAATTGAGCATCTGCAACAACAAAAAACTAAATTCTCATTAATATGTTTTCAAAGGAACAATCACCACTCCTAAATTCTCTTCATAAATTTTTTTCCAAGTTTGAATAAGAGGAAATAAGAATACAATAACTGATCTAGCATTTATGTGCACAATTTTGGGGATTAGTTAATATATTTTTTTGACGTGTCATTATAATGTCGCTTTGTTTGTAACTGTTTACATGGTGTTGATATATTGTGGCGTGACTCTCAAATTTTGTAGGTTTCTTGCACATGGGCGTTGCATTGACCTGTTTTTTGGATTGTGCGAGTGTGAAGCATTTCATTTTTTAAATGTTATGTTGAGCAATGATGAAAAAAAAGCTCAACCAATCACCTGCCACTATACATCGGTGATTTATGATAAAGCTTCTTTAATTACTGAATTCTTGTTGAGCTCTACTTTGAATCTTCTGATTTTCACCGAATTTTGATTTAGTTCTTATTTTTTTATAGTTAATTATCATTTCTAAATGTTTTAAATGTATTGTAGTTCAAATGGGCAAACAAAAGGAATGTGAGTTATCAACTATCTGAAATATAGAGACAACAATCATATATATATATATTGTATATTTTGCTCAGTGTTTGAGATCTGAAATATAGAGACAACAATCATATATATATTGTATATTTTGCTCAGTGTTTGAGATCAAAATTTTATTAGTGATGGGTAATCAATTATTAAATTAGGTTTATTTAAAGCTGAGAGGTGGAAGATTAATGCATCACGAACAAAATATCGTGGCAATGGATTGTATGTTAAAGACAACAATGATGAAAATATGTAGTATTTATTAAGATTCGAAGAGCATGAAAAGAATTTTCTTGCATTAAATTTATCTCCAAGAGGTAAATATGTTGTGTGAGAAATTTGAAACCATAGGCTCGTAAGAGTGGGGTAATCACCACCTCAATCCTACTTCATTACTTAAAAGTAAAGATTATTTTACGAGTCAAAACCATCCAACTCAATGTCACGAGTGAAACCTAATTCATAGTTTTTAACCGTTGTGAATACCTCCAACTAATTTGCTATCTTTCATTTGAATTTTTTTTTTTTATTAATCGTGGCCTTAGATGTTTTTTTCATTATAGCTCATTATGATAGTTTATCCTACAATGAACAAAACTAATTTTTATACTCCACACATAGTCTACATGGGATGATACTATACTTTTCGTTTTAATGTCTCACCTCATGTCCAGAAGACAACACAACCCTACAATACAAGACGTAATGACATAAATTAGACATATTTTATATTCTAAAAAAATTAACGGTGTGCAAGTAATAATATAAAGAAAAAAAAGAAAGATAAAATTAATTCCATAAATAAGAGTCCAATCGGTACTAAAACAACAAACTAAACTAACTAAAGTCAAAACTGAAATGACAATAGGAAATAACTACATAAAACAAAAAAGATAGAAAACATAACAATTAATGCAAAATTGAAATTACGCAAAAGAAAGTCTAGAACTAGAAAGATTGTTCCTATGAAAGCGGCTCTGCGAGTGGTTGAATAAAACCTACTATATAAAAATATCTATGGTTCAATGTGTGAGTTTGATAAATCAAACTCAGTAAATAACTAATATTCATTAAAGCACGAATTAAAAGGAATTAAGGCATGTAATATGAACAATAAAATAGACAATTACTATGTGCATATATAATACCATAAGACAACAAGAGTGTTGTAAACATTGATATGAATACACTCATTTATTTTACTAAAACAGACAATTAATTGAAATCCAGTCAAGTCTCACGAGTGCATGACTAAATGGTCATTATTTTGTATGCCTGTTGGCCTGACTAGCCAATATTCAAAATCCACCGCCATCAAGCATACATAATCATAATTTTTGCATAAGTAAATATATATGTGGCATCCTACCTTACAAAAGCTAGTGATATGCCAAATTTGAGTGCAATTCATAAATGTAAAGTGTGAGAAAATAGAATATTAAAACTATAAGGAAATACGTAGTGAGTTGTGCATCAATAAAATAAGACAAGTAATTTTGTCATTACAAGCAATAAATGAAACATATCACAAGTGAAAAGTAAAAAAAATATATAAATTAAGTTGCAAGCGTAGGACTGACAAATCTAAAAACAAATTCAGAAATATAGTACAAATATAAGGATTAATGTCCATGACAACAATATGTATGCTTACCCAACAGTAAATAACACATACTTAACTCGAGCTGACAAAAACAAAAATCCAAGCACTAAAACGTCGAACTAGCGTTGGCCATTAGGTTCAATGGAATTAAAGCATAAAGTGGCGGAGGGGCTTGCGACGACCGTTAGATCGAGGAGTAAAGAGGAAAAGAGAGTTTTTATTCTTTGTGGTTGGCTATGTCAAGGAGAATGAAGAAGAGGGAGAGAGAAAGCTACAAGGGATCGACTTTCGTAGGATGAGCGAGACGACCAACACGATGGATCAAGAAGTTCATAAAAGTGGCAACCGAAGCACACGGGAAGAAAATGAAAGGATCAAAAACCTCATGGGAGATCACTAGAGGTTCCAAGTAAGGAAGGCGGTAGGAAAGATAAAGACTTAGTCTCTCTATTTCGATGTTGTTTATGGAGGCCATGAAAATCTGCACGATCACTTGATTCACGTAAATAAAAGAGGAAGGTGGGTGTTAGGCTCGATAGGAAAGATAAAGACTTAAATCTTACATACTATTCCTTTGTGATAGTTTAATCCCTAAATTCATATCTTCTTTTTGGAATAGCTGTGAGTACTTCAGGATCTTCTATTCTTCAAACTCTCATTTTGCTCCTCGCTCTGACTACTTCTTCCAAAAGACGCTGATAAAAAGGTTAGATCAGATGTCGAATTTTAAGTTCCAATAAACACGCCATGAAAATCTGCATGATCACTTGATTCACGTGAATAAAAGAGGAAGGTGGGTGTCAGACTCGGTAGGAAACATAAAGACTTAGATCTTACATACTATCCCTTTGAGATAGTTTGATACCTAAATTCATATCTTCTTTTTGGAATAGCTGTGATTACTTCAGGATATTCTATTCTTCAAACTCTCATTTCGTTTCTCGCTCTGACTACTTCTTCCAAAAGATGTTGATAAAAAGGATAGATCAGATGTCGAATTTTAAGTTCCAATAAACACTTCAATACATCTTAATAACTCAATTTTTTTCGAATCACCAACAACAACGCGTGCCAAATAATTTGAGAGTCTCCAAACACAACATCAAAATAGAGAGACATTAAAATGTTGTCCACACCTGCAAGCACTAGAGAAATAGCCCAATAGTATGAAACTCCTTCGACTCTCTTGATCACCTCAAAAAAGGCCAATGAAGTGTGGTTGAAGCTTTTTATTATGGCCAAATCTTGTGACTCCATGCACCTGTGAAAATAGGGATGTCAAACAAGCTTTTTATCGCAATCAACTTGTGTTAGAATCGTTAAGTAACTTGTGTTCGAAACGTTCAGTAAGTAAACGAGTCAAACGCGAAAGAATCTAGAATAAAAAAATGAGTCAAGCACGAACAACCATTTATTAGATTGTGTTAGACTCGTTTTAGCTCGAAATAATTAAATTATATATATCATATATAATAATAATAATATATTATATATATTATTTATATAATAATATAATTTGTATATTTACACGTTTTAGCTCGAAATAATTAAATTATATATATCATATATAATAATATAATATATTATATATATTATTTATATAATAATATATTTTGTATATTTATATTCAAGTTCAAATTATAATAGCTTGTGTGATAACGTGGTTGTGCGCCTTCTATTTTACCAAATTCGCGCATGCTCGAATATCATACTTTACATTTATTTTTTCTAATTAATTTTAACGAGTCAATTTTGAGTTGAACACGAACAAAAATATATAAATAGAGTTGAATACAAATACACTATTCACGAACAATTTTAAATTCTTGCCAATTTAGAAGGAGCCGAACACGATCCAATTCTGAACTAGTTCAAGAATATTAATCAGGAATATTAATTCAAAATTTTTAAATCTGTAAATAATGTGAAGAAATTTAAATGAGTCGTGACTTCAAATTTCAACAACGATTCAGCAGCCCATATCCCGCCGGAATATTATAACTCCCTCATTCGCCAATATCAACAGCAGCTCCGACAGCTAACTGGCCATTTGGAGATGCATGATAAATTAAACTTACCGTCGGAACAACATATTAACCATTGTTCCTGAACATTTAAAAAAAAAACAATTTATGATACAAGAAGAAGAAATTACAGATCACATCCTTTGTACACTTCTCCCTCCGAGGTTCGATTCGAAGGCCAATTCGTCGGTAACGTCGATTTCCCACTTTCCTCTATGAGTTTTTTCAATCTGTTGAGATCTCAATTCTAATCTAGGGTTTTTTTTTTTTTTTTCGATTCTCCTCTACAGATTGTTTTCTTTAGTAAATTTGTGGAGCATTGGGTTTGGGATTCGATTCGACGAACTTTAAGGCCGGCGGATGACAGGAGCTTGATATTACTTTGAGGATGAGCTTACTGGATTCATCGGCATCTTTGCTTGCTACATGTGGAGGGGACACTGTAAAGCTCTTTGATGTCAGCGTTAAATCTGGTGATCCATGTACTCTGAGCTATACTCCTTCGCCCGGATCTCAAGTGAACTCCGTTAAATGGAATCACACAAGTAATTATTCTTTCTGACGTTTAGGTATTTATTTATTTTCTAGAATTGTTACTTTGTGGGTTGTCTGCCATTATTATCGTCAATTTGATTACATCCGTGGCAAACTCCATCAGGGCCATATCCGGAAAGGGAAGTAATTTTTGGTAATATTAATTCTTTCTGCATAGGCAATTTGTTATAGCACCTGTTTTACCTGAATGGATATTGCCATCATTAGTTTCATTTTTTGGAGCGTTGACCTGCATTAGAGTTTGTTGACTTACTATGGTTTCTCATTCACAGTAGGGATGCGTTAAGGATCAACATGAAGACTGCATTTTTGTTTATTGTTCATGGAGATGGTAATCAATATTTAAATTAGGATTCCTTGATGCATTTCCTTGTTGACGACACAAAGTTGATAGGCGAGACCTCATCCAAAATTAATAGAAAGTAGAATAATAGAAGAAATATTTAGAAGATAAGGGGTTTCGTGTTAGTAGCATAAACATCAAATCTATTGTCTATAATTTGAGTGGGTATGAAACTGATAATTATCATTTAGTTAGTAGAAGATCAAGCGATATGGTGGCATTGCAGGTTTGTATGTATATGTTTGTTGTATTACAATAAATAAATGAGATGCAATTTTCTTCTTTTTGCAGGTTTGTATATGTTTGTTATATTACAATAAATAAATGAGATGCAATTTTCTTCTTATATCATGAAACTTAAGGTTAGATTTCATAAACTAAATTCAGGTCTACTATGTGCTATGAGTTTTGTTTGATGAAGAAAATTGTGATCCAAGTTGAATACAACAAAACTTCTAAATATTAAGATGGAATGTGGTTGAAACAAGAGAGATAGATAAAGAGATTATTATAGTAGTGATTCCATGCAAGTCATGGCTATTGCATATAATGCAATGAAAATTAGATTTATGTTGTTTGTGCATGAGCAATATAGGGTAAAAGACTCATTGAAAAGACATGCAGGCAAAAAAAATGTAGAAGGGTTAATAACCTATAGGGTAGTGCAAGGATAAATCGAATATAACTTGTTTAAGGTTAAAATCTTTTGTAAACCTGTGCAATAATGATTTTTTCAAGGGAGCTTCAAATAGTTAAGATAAGGATAGTGACTATGATGAATGCAAAGATGTTCATTAAATAAATCTATTTATTATTTTAAATATTTAAATAACAAAAAAATATTCCTGCAGTCTATTTTATCTTTCTTAGGCTGTTTTGACCCTAGACAATAAAGCTTAAGCTTTGATGGATTTTATTTGATTTGTTTTTGATTAGGCCTAGCATGAATACAATATAATGAAAACTTAAAACTTAAAATTTATAAAACTACATTAGTCCTACTATATGAATATGATTTTTGTTTAATTAGGGAAACCAATAGTCGAGTACGATAAAATTGATAAATTTTATGTTGGAAATGGGGTAAAACTAAGGGAGATTGAGAAATTATTGTATCGGAGATGCCGTGCAAGTAAGGGTTATTAAAGGTTAGTGAAAAGTAAAGTTAAGTGGGTTGGACATGTGTAATATAGGGTAAAAGATGCTTTAAAAAAAACATACAAACAAAACAAATGTTGATGGTTTAAGAAGCAAAAGGGTTAGTATAAAGGTAATATGACTATAAGTAGTTTAGGAAGTCAAGCAGTTCTAACCCAACATATGCTTTTCTTCCCCTTTGGGTAATGTAAGAAATGTAAGCAATTTAAGCAAAGGCCAAAGTGAGACCAGTCTTTCGTAAAGAAAATTTATTGTAAGCATTCTTGAAATGAATCATAAGCGTGGATATAAAAATCCTAATTGTCTCTTAAAGTCTCAAAATCTATCCTCAACTAAAAATTTTTAGAAGGAGACTATGAATTAGCATTTCATGCCAATTCATTCAGTTTTAGAATTATCTTGGGTGACATGATCTTTAATAAAGTGATGCATAACCACGATGTGCTAGTTCATGAATATTAGTTTGAGTTCTTGTTTAAGCTAATATCACTTCTGTTATCTAGCTGGAACATATTTTATCTTACCTGCCTAATTTTTTATTCATTTCCTTAAACCAAGCACCCATATAACACAATTGCTTGCAAAGATGCACTCATCTTTTGGCAATTCAAAAGCTTGCAAGTGCTTGAATTATTTTTTTTAAGAAAAAAAGGCAAATTGATTGCTTAACTATAATGAAAAATACATTTAGTTACCTTAAAATGGGAGTACTTGGAATTGACATGAAAGCAAGATTAAACATATAAGCCAAATATGATATCAAACCTACTACCAATAATATATAAAATTGAGCCAATTAATCCTTCATGCAACTTATCTTCTAAAGGTTTACTATTCTTATCAAAGTCAATTGCTAGAGGAGCTCATCTTGGTCTTTGTTTATTTAAATCTCCTTTATCAAACTTCTCAAGTAATCCATTTCCATGTTTAGTTTTATAGATGAAAGTTTCTTTCTGCTGCTGCTTTGCCTTATGTTTCATAAAGGACTTGTGCATGCTTTTCGTAATTTTTTTTTACTCAATATATATACATAACCACGACTCAAAGAGTCATTATTTATACTAAATAATATGTTCTCCTTTTAGCAAGTAAATTGATGGAACAACATACTTGCTTATAATCTTGCTATTGGTATAAAGAATTTCTTAAAGTCTTTGTCTTCCGCCTAACTATCACTTTGACAATCAACATAACTTTGTTTTGAATAATATACCTGAGTCATGTAATTTATTTCTATAGACTATTTGCTCCAATTATACTGCGATTATTGGATCTATGGATTAATTTTTAAACATCATTCTTATTAAATGCCAATGCCAATAAGTGCCAATGTCACTGGATTCTGCATATAATTCATTTATAGAATATTTTGCATAAATGCCAATGTCACTGGATTCTGGCTTTGAAATGAATGTTGGGTTATCTACCTCATCCCTAATATAACTCGTTTTCCTAATACTTTAAGTTGGATCATTTAGTTTCAAATCTTTAGAATGAGTTTTTGCATATTTTCTTTTTTAAGACAATTTTGAGTGAATTTCTATTAATCATTTTAATTTCAATCTCGATCGTTTTAATCCTATTAAAATTATAACTTTTGACATCTTTTTTAATATATCCATATTTTTATTTGATCAAAATAAATATATACCAATGTTGCTGCAATCATTGTTATCTTATCAAATATTTTGTAGGCCTTGTTAGAGGGCGAATAATCAAGAAAAAATTATCATTTGATTTTTTATCTTATTTTTTTTTAAATAGTCATTACTGCTATTTAATTTCTAACATCTACAACTAAAATGAATGATCTTTGACTTTATTAACTCTTAATAACGCATAAAAATTATTTATTAAAATAATCCCCAAATTTTCTTTATTAACAGTGACATGCATTCTTTACATTTTTTCCCCAAACATTCTTTTATAAATTGCAGTTACTTTAGTGTTTTTGTTTTCTTTTCTAATGTTCCATTTTTGATCTTTTATGCCAAGGAGGTTTAGTGTTAGAGAAATTATGCCTGATGCCTTATCACAAAATTTCTCTAATGGCCTTTTGTCAGATTTACCTTCATGATAGATTTGTATTATGGAAATTAAATATTCTTGATCGTATTGAATATTTCCAACAAATATATAAAAGCCCTTTGTCTAATGGCCTTTTGTCAGATTTACCTTCATGATAAATTTGTATTATGGAAATTAAATATTCTTGATTGTATTGAATATTTCCAACAAATATATAAAAGCCCTTTGAATGTATCACTCTTATTTTCTAGGAAAATAATTGATACCGGAGTTAACCCAAACCACGATGCACGACACAATTTTATTAATGACTTAAAACAATATTACAATGAAGGCTCGAAATAATGAAAGACAACACACAAAGCAAAAACACAAAATAAAAGATTACAACTAATGACTCAACAAAGAAGATACTGCCGCTTGAGGATGAGGGAGTCCGTCGAGGGGAGGCTGGATTGGCGGCTGCAGTGAAGGTTGGAGAGATGGGGTTGCTGTGGAAGAAGTAGAACAACAGATTGGTGATAGTAACGACGCCGAACCATAGCTGGAGAGATGCAGGAGCGTCATCGGAGGTTGGATTGACGACTACGGTGAAGGCCGAAGAGGTAGGGCTGCTGTGGAAGAAATAGGACAGTAGGGTGGCGATAGCAATGACGTTGAACCACAACTGGAGAGGTGCAGGAACGTCTTCAGAGGCTGGACAGGCCGCTTTGGCAAAGGTCGGAGAGGTGGGGTTGCTGTGGAATAAGTAGGATAGCAGGTTGGCTATAGTAACGATATCAAACTGTAGTTGGAAAGGTGCAGGAATATTGTCAGAGGCTGGATTGACGGCTGCGGTGAAGACCAGAGAGGTGGGGCTGTTGTGGAACAAGTAGGGCAACAGGTCGATGATAGTAAAGACGTTGAACTGCAGCTGGAGTGGTGCAGGAACATCGTTAGAGGCTGGATTGCAAAATGACAGCAGGGGAATGAAAGTATGGTAAGATAAATGCCTCGGCGGAGTCGAGATACAGACGATCACCACCTTGAACGAAGGACAACCGGAGCACTATTTCGACGCCGAATATAGGCCTCGAAGGGAAAAAACCAAGGTTAAACCTGAATTTAGATATCAAAGAACAAGACTCCTCACTCCGGACACATCAAATTCTATTTATAAAGAGTTTTGACCCAATTAGGAGACACTAAAATAAGAAGGAGAATAAAATCAGATTTTAGATTTTAGGAAATAATTTTAAAATAAGGAAGAAAAATAAAAATCAGATTTCTATTTTAGGAAGTGATTTAAAATTAGGAAGAAGAAGAAAAATCAGATTTCAGTTTTAGGGAATGATTTTAAATTAGGAAGGAGAATAAAAATTAGATTTCAGTTTTAGGAAATGTTTTAAAATAGGAAAGTGTTAGGAAGGAAAATGAGAAAAGAAGGAAAGGAAGACAAAAGGAAAGGAGAAAAAAGGAAAGGAGGGAAAGGGGAAGGGGGGAAGAGGAAGGAGGGGGGGGCAGTTTCTTGAGGACCTGCTGGTTCTCTCCTGAGTTTTGCCTCAGTCTCCCGGGGTTGGGGGTCCTTTGACCTCACCTGCCGAAGCTTCTGGTCCCTTATATTTAATTATGGCAGCACCTGGATCCCATTGTCGACTATACAACCTTCCAAGGCACTTGCAAGTGCACCTCCATCTCGATCCAATCTCCTGGGACTGAAATCTCTTGCATGGTGGTGGCATGGTGGTAGAGAATTGATTGTCACTAAAACTGGTCCCGCTACTCTGCTGGTAAAGGCTCCATCTCCTTGGGTGCTATTGAGGGAAGTAAAATGAGACGTTTGTCGTCCTTGGTGAAATAATACACGTTTCTGAATCCACCGTGTCGGGTTTTTCGGTCAAATTGCCACAGTCTTCCTAGCAGAAGGTGGCAAACGTTCATGGGGACCGCATCACACTATAACTAGTCCTGCAGTTGACTCCTTATTGAAAACTCTATTAGGCTTAGCCGGTCGATGCTGACTATTTTTCATCTCCAACCGCGTTAGTGAATATGATTGAGAATGCCTCTAAGTCGCGAGTCTCAATTTCTCTGCCATCTAGGTCGATGCCACATTCTTACTGCTATTGCTGTCGATGATAAGGCTGCATACCTTTCCGTTCACTGTGCAGCGGGTGTAGAAAATGTTGTGACGAAGCCACTGCAGATCCCTTGTGTCCTCGACCCGCAAAATCCATCGAATCACAAGTGTTTCTCCCTCATTTAGTGGAAGCTGATGCTTCTCGTCCTGTTCCTCAGCTTCTTGCTCCCCGCTAACCTCTTCCATGGCGCTCTGCTCGGTAAAAGTTAAAACTCTGCTCGTCAGGCAGCTGGAGGCTATGTGCTCAAATCCGTATCATTTGAAGCATTTTCTGGAGGGCACTATAGTCGGCTTCTTCTCACCGCGGGTGGGTTTATTCATTTCCGAAATAATTTTCTCAACTCTCCGTGGCATGCTCCTGCTGATGTCTCCAACTGTGGGTGGCTGCCTTGGGGGTGTTGGTTGTCGGCTCTGCTTCTGCTGCCTTTGCACTTTCAATGCTAGTGCATGAACTTCCCCCTATTGTGATACATAAAAATAAAATAGAAGAACGATCTTAGATGAAAGCGAAAAATAGAACGAGAAAATTCACACCAGAAAACAGTAATACAGAGGAACACACAGATTTACGTGGTTCGACAAATTGCCTACGTCCACGAAGTTGCAAAAGATTTTACTACTTGAGGAATTTACACCAGTCGATCGTCTCGATTTACAAGAGATAGTCTTTCACTTCGTTGCTCTCTTTTCTTCTCTCTTTACACCGAGATACACCGAAGAAGATAAACTTACAAGAAAAATAAACTCAATTTCTTTTCTGTCACGAGTTACCAAGAAGAAGCCAAGGGAGAATAATCTTCTTCTTCCTTCTGGTGGAATGAACTACTGCTTGCACTTTTCTTTCTCTGTCCTTAGGAAGTCCGAAGAAGAACACGAAAATCGTGACTTCAAAATTGAAGGAGCCGTGCGATGCCTTTTATCGCGAACAGGAAGGGAGAACTGTCGCGAAAGAGCGGGAGACGCGACTCTTCATGAAGCAACAGACTGTTCACGATCGAGCGGGAGACAGGAGCTAGAACTTCGCGGGAATGGTTTGCGATAGGGGGAGCGGAAGCGGGAGCGGTCGGACCGGGCTCCAGCATGACACCCCCAACTTCCAGTATGGCTGCACCTGCACCACATTGCTAATACTAGGCTTCAAGCTCCCGAGATATTTGGCTACTGCATTCTCCTCTGGTTCTATCAGGCCGCACTTCAACTGTAAGTGGTCGAACTAAGCTGTAAACTCCTCCACTGAAAGGTCTCTCTGCTGCAGATTGTGGAGTTTCAAAAACATGTATTGGCGGTAATGAGGGGGAATATATTTCTTCTACATGGTTTTCTTCTTTTTCTCCCATCTGGTAATCTTTTCGCTACCTTCTTGCCTCCTCTGTCGTTGTACGTTCTCCCATCACAGGGAGGCACTTTTCTTCAAATTGATAGCATCTAATTTGACCCGTCTCTCTTTGGGCACCTTTTTTTGTTTTCGAAGATTCGCTTAACTGCCTGTAGCCATTTAATAAATTCATTCGAATTCATGTCCCCCTCAAACTCGGGCAAATCTACTTTGATCCCGTGGCCTTGGTGCCCTCTAAATGACATCTTTTCTCCGAAAGTTTTCCTGTGGTAGGGGTGCTGATATCCCTCTTTAGGCCTCATTTGATATTGGATTCCGAAACTTCCCAACCTATCTTCTTCATCGCTGAAATTATCTCTATAGAAGCGATTCGGATCCTCGTCTCTCTCTCCCCTTCGACTCTCCAGGTTTCAGTTGAAGGTAACATCTTCCCGTGTCATCTCTTCATTCTCTGCAATTCTTTGTTGGAGGAGACGGAGTTCTCATCGTATCTCTTCCCGGGTAGGCTCAAACATATTTCTTCTTGGCGGCATGTTTGATGATGTAGGATTTGTGAAAGGAAAAGAGGAACAAAGAAAGAAGAGAAAAAAAAAAAAAAACGGAAGAAAGAAAAAAAATTGGTGCAAGGAACAAAGAAAGAAGAGAAAAAAAAAAACGGAAGAAAGAAAAAAAATTGGTGCAGTGGATTGGTTAGGGGTGTATGCTAGAAACCCTAGGATGGGACTAGGGTTGGGTTAACTCTGATATCAAATGATACTGGAGTTAACTCAAACCACGACGCATGACACAATTTTATTATAGACTCAAATGCTTTTTAGATGTTCTTAAGCTTCAAAAGATGGTGTAATATTTAGCTAAAGGATAGGGGAACAGAAGGAGTCTTAGCAGCTCTCCCTCAATATCCCAAGAAATATACAGAAGTAAAATTTGTTTAAGTGAATATAGCTATGTTACAAACAAAGTATTCAGAGACCTGCGAATGAATTGTATGAAATCGGCGAAGTGGCTAGAAGTGTGGACTCGAACTGTTTACAAAACCAGGTTATTGAGACTTTGTGAGACCTATTAACTTAGAGACAAAAATAGAAGACTTAAAATGTTTAAAAGTATGCTCCTCAAGCTCCAAGGCTTCCATGTTGTCTCATCTGGTCCCTGGATTATGTTTTGATGAACATGTTTAAAATTACATTGAGATCATTGTATTTTCAATTATTTAGTGTTATTACGTATTTGTAGTCATTAAAATGATCTCGTCAAATCAATTGACTTAATCAATAGAATTGTGAGGTCAACAAATAAGTAATTCATATAGCAAACCCTAATTGAGATAAAGTTACTGTTGAAGATGCAATTTTCTAAAATAGTTAATATTAATCCATGACTATTACTCCTGCAGATCTTGTTGTTGCCAGTGCTGGAGAAGATAAAAAGATATCATTGTGGCGTAAAAATGGTCAAAGTATGGGGGAGGTACCCCTCGGTGGCAGTAATGTTGGTGATGACATAGAGGTAAACCAATCCATAATAATTTGTCAGCATGAACTTCTATAATATTGATTGCCACCTTTTGGACTCATCCCTGTTTCCCAATGATAATTCTATTAACATGTATTTTATTTATTAGCATTCTCTCGCATCCAGTATCATATAATATAGTTTATGCTTTTGATGAGGAAATCATATTCTGCTACGCATTCTGCTCATATCAAGTTGCATTAATACATTGATCCCAAATCATTCTTTGTTTCCTTTCTGAGGTTTTGGAGGTAACAGCCTAAAGTCTTAGCTTGTTGCTAATGTGTACCATTAAAGTTTTAATAATTTTGATTAAAACTTTATATATAGATAGGTAGCTGGAGAGATAGAGAGATAGCTAGACTCAAACTAAACTTATAAGGCAGGTACCCGGTAGGTAAGTGGGGTGCCTTACATTAGTAGTTGGACATATAGTAGGACTCTTTTATGATGTTAGGTGAATGCGTGCGTTTCATGCTGGCAAACTATTATAGATTCACCTTGACTTTACCCTACTACCAAACAAGACTGGCCATTACTGTCTTCTTCAATAATGAACCGGCGAAGAATTAAATGAAAATTTACTGCATCTCGGCTTCCTAGTTTTTTGTGCTTTATGAAATTATAACAAACTACTCTGTGGTATCGAATTCAGATGTTTGAGGATTCAGAATCTATACTCGATAATTTCTAGTTTTGCTTTCAGTTTTTTTTTTTAAATTTTTTTTAATTTTTTTTAATTTTGATTTCCTATCATAAGTGCAACTCTGATCTTATGCTATTTTGGCAGAGCAGTTTTTTGCTGTTTTTGCACACTTAATCATCAATTTACAATATATTGGACTTGTTATCTTCCCTTTCTATGTTATTCTTCTTCCCTTAATCCTCTCCTCCACTCACATGCCTTCTCTTTCATTTCATGAAGAG